GCCTGGGCATGTCCAGGCTGTGCACTGTGTAGTGTGAATACAATGAAACCACATAATAACAGTAAAGTCCATATAATAACTGTAAGGTCCATATAATAAAATCCTGTCAATTGCTGTATGTTTATCTCCACGCCTGGAACTGTTCCCATCACACCCAAGTACAACCTAAGAATCCTAAGAATCTTGTAGTTTGGCCCTATAGCTTAAATTTTGTAACTCTGCAGTTCTTACTTAAACATTGCTTAATGATAGATTAGGAAAGCATGCAGCTGTACTCAGTGACTGTTACACCCTAGAGTGATAAAAAAATAAAGGATTGTTTAAGTAGGGAAAACTAAATCAACCAAGGATTGTTTAAGCAGAAGAAATTTAGATTAACTAAAGATTGATGTTGATGCCTTGTAACAATAAGATGATTGACTGTCAGAGAGACGCTTGAGATGTTAAAGTGTATAAAAGCTCACAAAATCTTTGTTTCGATGGAGTGTTTATGGAGGAATTACCCCCAACACTACCCCGACATCGAATAAAAGGAATGCTGGCTTAACAGTATCATGCTGTTGAGTTTGAGTTCTTTGTATCAAGAGGCCTGACAGATGGACCATGTCACACTCCTGCAAACCCACCAATGCAAGCACCATGTGTTTACGATGGTATAAGCAACCACTGGATGGCTTGAAACATATCCTGTGCCCCATGCCACCTCCCAGAACACTATCCTGGGCCTTGAAAAGCAAGTCTTATGGCAACACAGTACTTCAGAAAGAATTGAATCAGACAGTGGAACTCATTTCCAAAACATCATAGACACTTGGGCCAAAGAACATGGCATTGAGTGGGCATATCACTGAGCACCTCATGGCAAGTGTTCTAGGGATCTGAGCCTGACTTCCCTCTGGTCATCATACCAATGAAGAATGAACTTTGATAAAACTGAACAAGCACAGCAATACTGGAATCAGAACTGACTCAAATGTGCAACATGCAACAATCCAACACCTCACACCATCTTTCCTGATTGAAAGACTGTTACCAAGGATGGAGGCCAAAGTCATGGACTAAATGAATTCAGCAAACATTTTTGTAAACACTTCCTGAACATTTGACAGAGGTGTTCCGTAGACTAAGGGAATGATGTCTGTATGTATATCTATCAAAACAGATAAATAGGGAAAGTAATGAGGTATTGGGAAGTCATAGAATCATAGAATATGCTGAGTTGGAAGGGACCCATCACAATCATTGAGTCCAACTCCTGGCCCTGTGCAGGACACCCCAAGAATCACACCATGTGCCTGAGAGTGTTGTCCAAACACTTCTTGAACTCAGACAGGCTTGGTGCTGCGACAACTTTCCTGGGGAGCCTGTTCCAGTGCTCAGCCACTGTATTCGTGCTTAATTAGATGTTGCTATTTTTTGGTCTGTGGTTGGCCCAACCACCTATGAGAGTTTACTCATTTCCTGCCAAGTTAGGAGAAAACAAGCACTGGTAAATGAGATGAAGGGAGCATCTTGTATAAACTATATTTAATTGGTACCTCACTATTGGCTGATGGCCTTTCAAGGGCATTTGTAGGAGAAAGTGGAGGATGATGAAGGAAGCCCCCAGACTCTTTTAGGAAAGACCCCCTGAGGTGCAGTACACAGGTGTGGGGGCGTTCCAGAGTACCCACGCATGCGCAGAAGAGGTACCACTTACATAATGGGGGGAGGGACTGAAGACCTCTAGCTGGGCGGTGCTGGCCACACCTGCCTAGGCAGACATAATCAGTTGATTGTATGAAAGCAGATAGTTCGTTTTTGGGAGGGAATCAAGCTTCACATCAAGGACAACATTGCCTTTTGGTGGGGACGCCTGCCAATTTGTGAGTCTACTCTCTCTGGGAATGCACCTCCTGCTATGGGTAATTCTAGGCATTCTGGGGTCGGTAAGAAAACTTCATAAGCAACATCTGGGTGAGAGGGGGAGTCGTACTGAGGGCTTATTTTCTTCCTCCTTCCTCTCTCTCAGGTTTTCATTTTGTTGGCCACCTCTTGGTAATAAATATTGTTGTTGTTGAGCTTTCAATGGTGTATGGTTTCAGTTTCAGCATCCTTCCCCGCTACAGCCACCCTCTGGGTGAAAAATCTTTTCCTGATATCTAACCTAAATCTCCCCTGACTCAGCTTCATGCTGTTTCCTCAAGCCCTGTCACTGGTCATAAGAATGAAGAGATCGGTACTTGCTCCTCTGCTTTCCCTTGTGAGGATGTTGAAGATCGCAATGAGGTCTCCCCTCAGTCTCCTCTTCTCTAGGCTGAACAAACCAAGTGACCTCAGCTGCTCCTCATAAGGCTTCCCCTCCATACCCTTCACCATCCTCGTGGTCCTCCTTTGGACTGTCTCTAATGGCTTAATGTCTTTTTTATATTGTGGTGCCCAAAACTGCACACAGTACTTGAGGTAAGGTTGCACAAGTGCAGAGTAGAGTGGGACAATCACCTCCTTTGACTGGTTGTGTCAAATGTGAGACTTGGCATGATGTAAATAGTATGGAATAAGGGGTGGATATTTGTGGGAAACGACTGGATGGTAGGCTTTGAATTTGAGCAGTTGCAGCTCTGAAGTTGTAAAGAATGTAAACAATCCAGGATGGGAAAGTAGAAAAGGAGTAGAACTACTGTAAATAACAGGTGCTGTTTTTGAGATTTGCCAGCACGCGAAGAACTGTTGACCACCTATCAAAAGACGAGTTTAGGCGCGTGAATAGAAGTACCTGACCAATGAAATATAATATGCTTGTGCGTGGACAGAGAAAAAGAATATAAGTCTAAGCTTAATGTAAATAAAGTAGCCATGTGTCTTTCCATGCTGTCTGGGTGCATTCTTGGCCATCATCAATCGGTGAACCCCGATGCGATTTATTACGCAGAAGATTTACTGCAAGGAGAATTCCTTGCATAAGACCACGGACCTTAGAGCAGTGATAGATAAGATTTATTGCAGAAGATTTACCACAGACCTTAAAGCGGTAGCGAGGGGATTTATCGCCGCAGACCTGAGAGCGGTGGCTGCGGACCTCAGAGCAGTGACGACGGAACCCCAATGTAGTATTTGTCGGCAGACCTCAGAGCCGAGCGACGGACCTTAGAGCCGAAAAGTAAGTCAAGACTTACAAATTTACAGACACCTGGAAAGAAGGTGAGCCATTGGGGAATAAATAATGGAAGCACAGATATCCGTGGAGGAGGAATCTGTTGGCATAGTGCTAACAGATACTAGAGAAGCATGGTGTGCGATATCAGAAATGTGCGCTCTGCACCTTACATAGTTGGTGCAAAAGAAATGAGGTAGATGCTCAGTCAGCATTTGGTACAGGCATTTGGGACTCTGCAGGAAGAGTGCTTTTTAATGCAACCACTGAGTCTCTCAAACAGGTTGCCAGCATCCTGAAACTGTGGTGAACTGTCTTTAAAACTTTAAAAGATCATGCTTCTAAAAAATCATCACCCTTCAAACCAGAAAATAAAGAAAAACCAAACAAATCACCCTCAGAGACAGTAAAAAGAGAAAGACCACCCCTCCTCGCTGCTAATACGAGACTTTTCGGTCATGCAGTCGCCCTGATGGAAGGGGTAGCACATCGCTGCCCAGCGTACACTGCACCGATCGAACAGTGAGAATTTGAATCGTGGCCGCTGCCACCCTGCGCGGAGTTGTGGTGCGGACGAACACCAGAGAGCCACTACGGCTGCCGGAGAATCCTAATGGCGTGGCGGAACAGAGATAGGCAGAGCCGCACGGGTAGGGCAGGAGTGCTCGGGAGCCGGTGAGAGGACAGCCCGGTAGCAGCAATGCAAGAAAAAACCAGGAACGGAGCAACCCCAAAGGGAAACAAGAACAGAGCAACCCCGAAAAAGTGCCACTTCTCATTGACAGGAGAGGAAGGCTAGAGAACTGCCTTCCCGTATTTCTGTTAACGCTCGTGTTAATTGTGTTGTGTGTCCAATGTCGTTGTGAACTCACAGTATTGCTAACGGTACCGTGCTAGTGTGTGTGTTGGGGGTTGTGTGTGTGTGGAGAAGCGACCATAAGTTTGTTAGTAACTGTTAAAACCCAGAGATGAGAGTCCGGGAGAATCTCCTCCCGTTAGAGTGTCTCAGGTGAACGCAAGAACATAGGAATTCACTTTAGGATTATTCAAACTGCTACCTGAGTCCGGCGTGCCGGGGCCACGCGCCAGGGCTGGGAGTTGTGCTCTGGGGTTGCCGCCGCGCCGAGCCGGGCCGGGGGGAAGGCATCACTGGCAGCCACGGTAGGCGGCGGCAGAACGGCAGAGGGACCCCAGCGACAGAGGCAGCGGCGGAGCAGGCGGCAGCGCCGAGAGCTGCTTCTGCAGAGCCAGTCAGACTTCTGCGGGGGTCCCCAGGAGTTCCACGGCGCTCGGAGAGGCCCGAGGAACAGCAGACCGACGGTGACTGCCCAGCGGTGACTGCAGCAGCAAGAAAAGAAACGAAAAGTAGCCTTTTCTCTCTTCCTCCCCGTCCCGCGGGGAAGGGGGGGGGGGGAGAGGAGAGTAAGAACGGCAGCAGAGGCTGCAGTCAGAAAGAGAAACAAAAGAGTCTTCTTTCCCTTTTCTGTTACTCTTGGGGAATAAGTATTTAAAACAAACAAGTACACACCTTTCCATAGTTCTCGTTTCCATCTTTAACTCCTTAGCTCTGCCGGGGGAGTTGCCCCGCAGAAACCAAGTATGTAAGTGGTTGAAAAAAGAAAGCAGAATCTCTCTCTTTAGTCTTTCTAATCACTTGTAGATAACTTAAAGCTAGAATTGTGTTCACACAATAATTTGTTGCCTAACAACCGAGTGACTTAAACGACCTCCAGCAGTTTCTCAGAACTAGGGAGAGAGTAGAACTTACCTTACAAAAACTACAACTTTACAAATAAGATAAATGGAAAACCAGCAAGCTGAGGATTTCCTTAACTCTTAAATAAAACATCTCTCTATCTCCCTGTTATAGACTGAGAAGTGACTGTGACAGTGGAGTGACCCTGTCAGGTTCTATGTGTACTGAACAAGTAAAGCAACTGTGACTCCTCTTATATTTTTGCTGCTACATTTGCTCAGTGCTTCTCTAGACCCTCAGTCTGCAGGAGTGGGGAACTGTCTTCTTGAAACACCCCCACAGTTAGTGCTGTGAATACAAGTGGTTAAAGCCAGAGGCCTTACCCTGGGTTGACATTACACTAATCATATCTTTAGAATTGTGTTTAAAAAGTTTACTCAGCTGATTCTTACACGATCTTGCAACTAGTTATTTGTTCTCCTTTGTGTTGCCTATGTTGTTGATATGGTTTGAAGCTGGCTCCCTGCCAAGTCTTCAAACCTTACCACCAGAAGTCCCGTCCCCCCCCCAAAACCTCAGGGAGAAGAGGGAGAAAAAACAACCAACTAAGAAAAACCTGAAACGAGAGAGAGACAGCTAAAGTGGTATATATAAATATATTTACACTTATATTACAATTATATACAATTAAAATATATACAATTTCACAAGGGAAAGGGAAGGGGGAAGGGAAAGGGAACAAAACCAAAATAAAAAATATATATCCCAATCAGTAGCCCGAGATCTAGTAACTAAAGAGTTAGCAAAGAAAATATCCCACCACTCTCCTTGGGACAACCGAGAGTTGCTCCAGGACGATCGCAGGCAACTTCGCCTCCCAAAGTCAACAAGGCCTTACCAGGCCTCACTCCCCAACACGGCAGACTCAACAGCAGGGAACATGCACCTTGAAGTCACCAGAAGGAAAGAGAACGAAGGCCTCTCCTCCTTTCTTCTTATAGTCTGGCTTACGTAAAAATCGTAGGGAATACTGGGTAGATCTGGACTCTTCCTTGGTTACAAACTGGTCACCAAGGAAGGCCCAGCCCAAACCACCACAGTTGTGAATTTTGTTCTCTTACCAGAATTTCATAGACAAACAGATAATGTAGATCACATCTAAGGAACCAGCTGCAAGCTGAAATCTGACCTTCTCCATCCTTCTGAACTGCACATGTAGCTTAAAGCTGAGTATAAAAAAGAATAATCAAACAGTATTTTTTCACTGTTGTAGACAAACATACTAAATATATTGGAAAGTAAGTAAATTAACTTTTAAGTAATTAACTTTTCCTTTCCTCTTGGAATAGTGGGCAACATTTCTACAGTGTTCTGAAGGGAAAAACGTTTGTAGTTATATTTTTAGTTTTGTGGTTATATTGTTAATTTCCTGCTGAGATAATATTGATTATAATTTTGGAAAACGAGAGAAAACAAAACAAAATCTTTAATTTGATCCCAAGTGCAAGAAATGTATAGTCTGTATTGAAAAGACCTGAGATGCTCTTGATGTTGTAATTAATATGACTAACAATACCTTTAATATGCCTTCAAGTGATCCTTATTCGTTTAATTATATCACAAATCAAAAAGTAGTCATTCTCAATCTATCATTAGTAATTCTCATGAATAAGAGGAGCCAATCTGTGACTCCGGTGAGCCTAACCTGAGACTGAGAAGATGATGCAGAATACAGTAAATTAGAGAGACTGTTCTAATTGCTTTTGTCATCTTTGTATTAATCAGAGCAATAACTACGACCATGCATTAGCCATTCAATGCAGGTCATGCATCTTGAAGAACAAAATGCATTGGTTTTTTCTTTCTTGTATAGCAGGCCTCTTGCCCTAATAGATCCCTGAATCTACTATTCCAAAGTTAAGAAAGTCTCTGTCACCAACAATGTGTTTTAACTTATTCTTTCTGTATGTAGTGTTATATTGCTAGCAAGCAAGAATCAGAGTTAAAATCAAAACTTGCATTTTTCTCCAGCATAGAAAGTTATAACATGATTAAATTTGTATTATGAATTCAGCTAAAATTTGAAAACAAACTCAAAATTCTATATCATATCCAATCTAGAAAAACTTTAAAAGGGTGGATTGCTCTTATAGTTTGAACACTGTCAAATTACCAGACAATACTATAGTTATTGATATTATATTTTTATTGTCTTTCATGAAAATTGGTATTATTTATATATATTTTATCCCAGTAGTTTTATAACAAGTGGCAAGAATTGTTTTGAATATCTCTCTTTCCTCTCTAACTACTGCAACATATGAAAGAAACCTCTTAGTTTACAAGTCCACACAAGATTATAAATAACAATGCATGAAGTACTAAACCTCACAGAAGAAAAGCCCTGTGTTAAAAAGCAAAGAAAGTGGTTAGTCCCCCCACAGGCCCTAGCTTGCAATCTTTTAATAGACTGCTAACTTCATAGCATGATGGTTTGTTTGTTTGAATGCTTTGTCTAACTTGTGCATTGCTTTACTGAATGCCTTAGTTGAGTGAATTTTGATCATGTCCTGGATATTTTTCTTCATGCTCTTAATGATCTTGGGTTCTTCACAGCACACAAGTTTTGAGCATTTAACACCAGCAGTGCCTGGTGCCTGATGCCTGATTATATCGCACTACCTGCTTTGTTCTACATGATTCTCTGCAACCGTTTATTGTCTAGGCTCTACTTTGCAGAAATTCCACAGATTCATTCTGTAGTCCAGACCCGTGAGATTAAGCACTCCATCTGTTCCAACTTGAAGACTAAGTCTACGTTCAAAAGTAGGATGCTGACCCCCTGTATACTGACTGCAAAAAGATTATGATTACCCACAACCACAGCATAGCATGCAGGTGACCCTAGCTGACCCAACAAAGCAAGAACAACTAGAACCTATTCCGATCTCTTCACTAAAGATGGATATGATTACAAAGATATCATTGTCTACACTTTTGCTATTACTCATTTGTTATGAATATTTTATGTTGTTTTCCTTGTTTTTTATCAATATACTGTTTAAATTGTTCAACAGTGGCATGGTCCAACCACAGACCATGCAGTAGAATGTATTTGTACTTAATTAGATAATACTACTTTAGTCTGTGTTTAGTCTAAAGCAAGCACTGATAGAAGAGAACTTCGTCCCTCAAGTGAACACCTTCTATAATTTGAGATTAATTCTATTTTACTATTAGTTGACAGCCTTCCAAAAACTTTTAAAAGAGAAAGTGAAAAAGAAAATTATATTAAGAAAGACCCCCAAAATACAACATGCAAGTGCAAAAGAAGTACCACTGTAGTGGTTTGAACCTTGTTTTCCCCCAGAGACTGAAAAGTGGTAACCCCCAGGGGTGGAAACCCCTGGAAGTTTTGAAGTTCTGTCCAATGAGCGCTCCTGCAGAAATGTAAACATATCACAAACACCGGAAGAGATGAGTTGTAGTTTTGTTAGGTTAGAAGAAGTAGCCATTTTGTAGTAGCCACGAGGAAAGGGGCCCAGAGTCCCTCGGGGCCTCTGGGGCCCCCCAGCCCCAGTTGGGGGCTACAGAGACTTGGAACAGTGTTAAGCTGGACTATGTGTCTGTAGTTGTGAGCTGGGAGATGTTTTTCCATCTTGAGTGAGCAGAGCAGAAGCGGCGGCAGCGTCCAGAAGTTATGGCTAAAAGCCAACTGATAAGACCTGAACCGAAAGAGCAGCAGGAACAACATGCAGCACTGCAGAGAAGACTCCTAGAAGGAGAGCCGAGGAAAAGAGAACCTGCAGCAGAGTTACGGAGTTCTGGGGGTAAGAACTGATATTAGACCCCCCAAACTCCTTTGAGTCCTCCTGGAAGGAGGAAGATGATGGACTCTTACTTGAAAGAGCCTTGGAGTGCTACAGCACTTGCAAAGAGGAGCTGAGAAGCTCAGTCGTCCTGAGAGTTGAACCAGGACGGTGTGGGAGGTTGGCCTTGGGGGCCCTCCCTTGCTGCAAGCTACAAAGAAGCTCGCAACCTGAGACAGGGCACAGAGGCCCTGCAAGGAGCTTGAATCTCCTGGAGATACCAGACCGTCACAAAGACCCCCTGCGTCTTCGTGATATGACGTGGTGGAACGGCCTTGTCTGGGGTTACGAAACCCACAGAAGACCCCTTTACCTGCGTCAAGGGGCCGAGGGGGATACCCCCCTCGTGAGTGCTGGCAGAGATCCAGCTATCAGCTGCTGCATGCATGAGATGAGGAGAACCTGCTGCCTTAGAAGAAACTGCTGCCCTGAGAGACTGGAAGGGATCTGTCCTTCTTTCCCTCCTGGACTTTTATTTGGAGGGGAGAAGAGATCTGATCCATTGTAAATACTATATGTCATGGTAGAGATAGTTGTGATTGTGTGTATAATGTGTTATAGTATTTATTTGTACAGTCATTGTAATATATTCCCTTTCCCCCACTTTGAGTCTGGTTGTGTTTTGTCTGGAAAAAACCCATCTCACATTAGGTTGAGATGTGGGAGGGGGGATGGATCTAGGGAATTGGATTTTGGGCTATCTCAAACCATGACAACCACTTACATGATGAGAGAGAAGCTGAAGGCCTCTAGCTGAGGGATACTGGCCACATCTACCCAAGTAGATGTTACAAACAACTTATATAAAAAGCAAATAACTCATACTTAAAGAACAGTAGAACGTAAGTTGTCCTTACGTGGAACACTAAGCTCAAAAGTTAACAACAACCAAAGCAAAACTTATTATTCATGTAACAATTAACCTAGCAGTTCAATTTCAAAACATGAAAGTTGACAGCAGAAAGACAACACAACAATCCTTTTTCCCTTACCCCCAACCTCCAGCTACGAAAAAAGCGGGGAGTGAGGAAACACAGGTTCATAAGATGGTCTTACTGTTTTTTGAAGTTGTTTATCTAAATAGCCAAAGATGCATACATGAACGTGATGGAGAAGTAGAGTTTTTGAAATATTTTGTAGTGACTACTAACAGGTTCTCTTTGAAGTCCAAAAACCCATTAGCATGGGGAAGTGTCTGTTTTGCTTTAGAAATAGAAAGAGTATACATTTATCTTTGAACTATAGGAATGTTTGTATGTATTTGAGTTTTGAATTGAACATGAAATAGAAATATGTTTGTGTTTTACGAGTTATATTTTTGTAAAGCAGAAATGCATAATTGGATCTTACTCATCTGAGGGTAAAACACAAGAATGATAATTCCTTAGTTCATAAAACACAGTGATATGAAACTCAGAAGTATGTCTGTATGAAAGTGTGTTTGACAGTGGTCACTGTGAGAGTTTGTATGTGTGTATGTTTTGGTTTTGCTCACAAATACACAACACCCTTAAAATAAAAACAAAACCCATATAACCCTAAATTGAATGGAGTTCTATTTACGGAAATATTTTTAGATTGAATAAAAGCTCTCAAGAACAAACCCTATAGTAGAAATACCTTTAAACAAAAGTTAAAGAACATAAACCCTGAAGTCATCGAGTTATTAAGTTTGATTCAAGACCATTTGTTTATAGGTCTGTTCTGGTAAAGTGTTGAAACAATAACTGAAATAAAGTTAATTTCTGATAGAGAATAGTGAGAATAAGTTAAGTAATTTGTTTAAGCTAACTAAACATGTTTTGTATTGATCCATAGTTATTTGGTTTGACATTGTTTGAAATTCTTTCTTTTGCATTTGTTTCTTGTGTACCTTTCTATATCTAACAAATGTTTGAAAATCTTGATATTTTTTAATATTAGTGCAAAAATTGGGAAGATAGTAATTGTAACATTATTTGAAGTTTTGTGTATTTTATTATGTGTCCCCTGTTTGATATCTTGTGTTCAATGAGTGATTGGTCAGAATTACTCCCAAGCCTTGTTTTTCAATTTAAAAACAAAAAGGGGGAATTGTGGGAAATGACTGGGTGGTAGGCCTTGAATTTGAGCAGTTGCAGCTCTGAAGTTGTAAAGAATGTAAACAATCCAGGATGGGAAAGTAGAAAAGGAACAGAACTGCTGTAAATAACAGGTGCTGTTTTTGAGATTTGCCAGCACGTGAAGAACTGTCGACCACCTATCAAAAGATGAGTTTAGGTGCATGAATAGAAGTACCTGACCAATGAAATATAATATGCTTGCGCGTGGACAGAGAAAAAGAATATAAGTCTAAGTTTAATGTAAATAAAGTAGCCGTGTGCCTTTCCCTGCTGTCTGGAGATATTGTCAGATATTGTCCTCATTTCAGCTGGGATAGAGTTAATTTCTTCTCAGTAGCTGGTACAGTGCTGTTTTTTCAATTCAGAA